CCAGAAAAAAGGCACAATTTTTCATGTTACATTTAATAAAATATCTAAATGAACTAGTTGTTTTGTTGTCGACATCGCCTGTTCATGCATGGAAGGGACTTGAAAAAACATTCGCTCGCCCATTGTTTATGTTCATTGGAAAGGCGACAGCATTCGCGGGAAGGCGAAAACGAAATTCGCTCAATGTTTATACACGCTAAAAAAAGGCGCCTTAACGCGAAAGAACCTCTATATTCATGTCTGGGTTAGCACTACAAAATTTCATCCAACAAAGGCATCACTCACGCATCATGCTTCAACACAAAGCAGGCTTTGAGCCTTCACATCAGTTCTGCATCAGCGTCAACAAACAATCGTCTCAATCAACCTACCAAGCTGTCTCAGCTCACGGTCAGGGGGACATCAGACATGGTCTCTGTGAAACCAGGGATACTCTACAACATATAGTCTCCCTGGTGAAACAGTGTGGTGATGAACGTTTACGCGAGAACCTCGCTGCAAAGGAAACAAATATTTGGGTAAAGGCTGACCACCCTAGACAAGGCGGGTTTTTTCTCTACCCGTCGCAAATGTAACAGGTTTGGACAGAACCAGAAAGCCGTATCTGCCGCGACTGTGGGTCAAAGAATTAAAGGTGCACCGTCACCATCCAGGCAAAGGAAAAGGTGAGCGAAGTTTGTTTTTGTTTGACTGTGATTTATGCATAGTTCCGGTCTTCATTCCAGTCATGTTGTTATCTCGTTGTCAATCACTGGATTGTCTGTTCTAGACACGACTGTCGTACAGTTGTGATACTGTTGAATCCTGTTGTGTTTCATTAGTGCATACTGTTCTTAGGGTCCGTTACCATACCAAGCCTGGTTCCCGGGGTCTGCTGCGCTACCGCTCCGACACTGACCCCGGTAACTTCACTGACGGACCCTGGTAACTTCACTGGCATGTGTGTTTCATGCAACCAAACAGTGTCTATTATGGGCCTATGGCCTCTTTACAGAATAAACTGTCTGCCTGTCTGTCTGTGGTGATTTTAATACCAACAGGTTCCAAAACTGAACATAACCCATTCACCACCCCACTCCAACCCCAGATATAGCTACAGGTTTTTATGTAATAGGAAAAGAGACACACTGTGAAATATTAATACCTGCATTTTAATTTTCTAAACAAGCCCCACTCGAGAGTGTGTGTGTATCCGTGTGTATTTCAGAGAATGCGCACTTTCCTTTATATGAGTTTGCTCTTTCAGAACAAGCTGAAACACGCACGCGCGCGCACGCGCACACACACACACACGCAGAGAGAGAGAGAGAGAGAGAGAGAGAGAGAGAGAAAATATTTCATAATGTGTCCGTTTTCCTATTGCACAAAAAACCCAAAGAACATTAGCAATATCTGGAGTTGTGGGGAATGGGGTACATTTAGTTTCATATATATCATAGCAGAGACCATATTTATTATTTGGTCTCTGATCATAGTCTTGTGATTTCCATATCCAGTAGATAACACGCCAGTAACACTCGGTAGCATCACGCAGATGTTACCATACCATGACTATTGTTATACTTGTTAAGATCATTGCCTATTGCATCCCCATGATCAACCCCATGCAAAATGGAAGAATAGATATGGATGTTATATTGAAATGATATATGCCAAGTTAATAAAACTAATAAATATATTCTTCTTATTATAATATTCCATTTTGGAATCACAATACATTGTTAAAAATACATGGTTGAATTAACCGGTTATGTGTTTAAAATGTATTAGATCTATTCGTTATGAATTATGTGGTAAACAACCATTTTCTAGTTATTAATGCTGGGCGTTCAGTTTATTTCAAGCATACAACAGGAGAAAATGGGCCCAAATCATCGAGTTATACGTCATCAAATTTGCTAAAATAAAGATCCTAACTTTAACTGTATATATTCAATCAATGTGGTCGTTCATATCCATGTTTTATGTGTACGACTTCGTCACAAAAGCGAGCTGACACGAAAAATGAACGACATGTTGGTGTTGAAGAGGTGTGTGTTTTGGTTTACATTTCGCACATGTCACGACGATTTTCGTGTCTCGAAGCTGCTCAAATAACGTTTTCGTGAGCTAAAAGTAACGATGGGCGTTGTTCTGGCGACGTTGATTTGCCATAGTATCGATGAACATGCTATGAAAAAATTCTAACCACCCGTTCTCGGATTTTTCTTTAGTAAATGTATGGCGCGTCGCTCAGCAGTGAAGGCCGCCATTCAGTAATGGTTAAGCTAGGGTTACACTATGTCCCGGCGGCAACGGCAGCCCCGGCTATTGGCTATTTTTCCTCTAAAGTCAAGTTTTGTTAGGCCCTGCTAAGTTTTTTCACGGTCTATCACGGTATCCGTGATGGGCTTGGCCCGCAGTCCACTACGGATGCCAATACGTATCCTCCCGCCTGGGCTCCCGGCCTGTCGCGTTCTGATGGGTTCCCTCACGTTTTGATCAAGGTTTTGACACGTTTAGCGCGTTCTGTCAAAACTTTCTACGGATGAAACGTGGACGCAGGCCAGCTTTGGACCACGTTTGTGCCCACGGAATAAAAATAATGCCTCCCAAGCAATAGCAGCCATTGTATCCTGAGACACAAGAGCAGCATAAAAACCCAAGATGAAGAAGATTTTGTGTTTGTATGTTTGCTGGGGGCACACGTCGAGTCCTTGCGTCAGCAAGAAGGCCAGCATCAACTGCAGAGAGGGAATGCTGGCACCAGAGAACGCGCAACGTGCCGTATCTCGCCGGCCCTGTAAACCGTCACACGCCTGGATGCGACGTGATAGAACGGGACGAATCGGCTACCATACAACCTAGCTTGCCGTTAGAACCGGGACAAAACGGGCAACTAGGGTGAAACAACCGGGACAAAACGCCAAACAAACGTGGGCGAACGTAACAAAACTTGAAAGGACCGTGAGATGCCGGGGAATACACATGCCTCCCGTCCCACTACGGACCCACTACGGACCGTTTACAAGTTTTGTTACGGCCTATTACGTGCCGTCACGTTTTGTTGCGTTCTCCCCTTTTATTACACTTGGGAGATTTGAGGCGTGGATTTAGTTGGTCCTCCTAACCCAATTTGGGAGATTTGAGGCGTGGATTTAGTTGGCCCTCCTAACCCAACTTGGGAGATTTGGGGCGTGGATTTAGTTGGGCTTCCTAACCCAACTTGGGAGGCGTGGATTTAGTTGGGCTTTCTAACCCAACTTGGGAGATTTGAGGCGTGGATTTAGTTGGGCCTCCTAACCCAACTTGGGAGATTTGAGATGTGGATTTAGTTGGGCCTCCTAACCCAAGCTAGGAGATTTGAGGCGTGGATTTAGTTGGGCCTCCTAACCCAACCTGGGAGATTTGAGGCGTGGATTTAGTTGCTCCTCTAACCCAACTTGGGAGATTTGAGGCGTGGATTTAGTTGGGCCTCCTAACCCAACCTGGGAGATTTGACGCGTGGATTTAGTTGGTCCTCCTAACCCAACTTGGGAGATTTGAGATGTGGATTTAGTTGGGCCTCCTAACCCACCTTTGCAGATTTGAGAGGTTATCTCCCATTTGACAGACACCCATTTGACAGACACCCAATTGGCAGACACTGAACTAGAAGGTTAATTAGGGTAACACCTACGGGTATAATGGAACAGTCCACTGTCCAGGGAGTAGAGCAGGGTGAGCCTGAAGCAGGCTTGTTACTGAGAAGTTTGATTGTGGGTAAATAGAACTTTGTTCTGATTAAATGATAAATGATATCTCTTCTCAAAATTGATTTGACTTTCAATTACTATCTAATATAAAAACAGGTTTGTCACTTAGAGGTTTGATTGCGTTTATTGATAGAAAAGCCCCCCTCCCAATAATAGCATATGTACAACAGAAGTTAATTGAGAAAACGTTTTGTTGGAGAGATATAGATATGTACATATTTGAAAACATTCTGATTTGCAGTAAATGAGACACCTGCATTGCCATGTAAGATACGATTAATACCAATCAGTGTTCTAATTTTAACAATACTTTCTAAAGATTGTAACAGTTTATGTCTTTGAGTAGTATACAATGGACATTCAAGGAAGTAATGAAAAACGTTCTCACATCCATGGCCACATTGACATGATGCGTCATATTTTTGAATATGTATTCTAAATAAATCGTAATTAAGTGCACTCGTCATATATCTTAATATTGTGTGCAAAACATATAACTTCTTTATTCCATATGAATAATATTTAGGTTCACATTTGTCTTTATTTGATTTATATGATACAACAGTGTCGCAATTTCTAATAGATAAGCTAATGTTTTCAATATGATGATGCCAACTCCCGTTAGACTATAAATGTTTATGTCTTTTCATCCATCTTTCAAATAATAACATAGCTTCAGTTTGTTCCTGTGTTTTTATTTGGACTATTTCATTATGATGTGTAGGTAACAGGTAGTAGATAATCTGTTCACTGAACCGTAAATGTTGTTGTTTTAAGGTGTCTGCGAACTGGCTGTCTGCGTAATGGGAGGACACCATTTGAGATGTGGATTTAGTTGGGCCTCCTAACCCAACTTTGGAGATTTGAGGCGTGGATTGAGTTGGGCATCCTCACCAAACTAGAGTGGTCTTAAACAGGATTTATTTGGGCCTCCAAACTGGAGTGATTTGAGTTGAAGACTTTGTTGGGCCACCTACACCGGCTTTAGCGAGTAAATGTTGATCAGTTACCACAGATGCTGGAAATAAAATAGTCCTCAGGTTTTACAAACAAGCTCGTTTTCATGACATGCTGACACCGATTAAAAATATTCTGTTTCCAACAAAACTGTCCACCACCCGTTATTCCAAAACCTGGTTAATCCGGACAATTTCTAGGTACGACTCAGTCGGGAAGTACGGGGTTTGCTGTATCTGCAGCTGATGGTATTGCTCCCATGGCCTTTAAGCGTCACACCAGATGACAAGCGTACACTCATCAACTATCACAGCAGTCGCATCAGTATAAGTGGCAACGTGGTCGGTGACAGCAGGCCAACACACCATAACATCTACTCTCAACCACCATCAGAACACGGTAAAACGCCATTCAGCTGTTCCATGCTTGCAATCTGATATGCATTTAGGATACAAAACGTAAACTGAGGACCCAAGGACGCTAACCTCAGCTCCAGTAGTTGTGTGTCGGCGGTGACGTCACGTTTCCTGCCCCGAGGAACGACTTCACTGGTACGTTCTTCAGGATCTGTGTATCAGAATTACTTCAATAACTCCCCTACACCGGTAAAACCACTATTAAATATCCTTGTAAACTGAAGTTTGTTTAATTGCATATGCTTATATATTTAATTATTTCTATGTTTTGTTGATCTTTATGACGCGGTGGTTTTGTGCTGGTTGTTTGTATATGCCCATATGTCACAGCGAGTAAGGCTTTACATCTGGGTCAGGCCACGGTAGGTTAGTTCATGTGCATGAAATATATAGTTGCATATGACAAGTAGAACTGCCAAGCAAGACAACGGTATAAGAAGCTATACCGAAACATCGCATCATAATAAATAAAGAAGTTGTTATCCATAAAGTATTATACTTTTCTATATTCAGTTAAACCATAATATTTTCCCTACAGCCTAGCCTTCCCTGCAATGCTAAAGCCGTAAATGAAGCAAGTCTAGATTACCCTGAATCTCTGGTCTCCCTGGGGCTCCTTTGTAATAATTGGTTTATTTATTACAATCAAAATTCTATATATTCAGAGACTAAGCGTTTGTCTATAGTTAACCTCACTTTTTGTCCTTTGTCCTTTAGCTAGGACACAGTGATTAATGACCGGCGGACACAAAACAACCTCAGCCATTGGAGTAAAAGGTCATTTGTATTTGAGCGTTAATGTTGTTGTTTTTCCAAGCCAGTTAGCTTGTGTAGGTTAAACTAAAAATAGAAATTCTTTCCTTAGCTCATAATTGTTCAGTTTAAATTTATTCGTTTTTCAATTTTGCAATAAACTGCTACTTGAGTATGTTTATTGAGAACGAATACAGGCTAATTATTTTAATAGTGAAATGTGTGTACCTACTTGTAGTCTGGTATTTGCTGTAGCCAGGGAAGTCTATATTGTCTTAAAGAGCCGAACCGAGTCTGGACCAGACAATCAACTGATCAACAGCATGAGCATCGAGCTACGCAACTGATATACGATGACATGTGTCAACCAAGTCAGCGAGTCTGACCACCCTATCTCGCTAGTCGCCTCTTACGACAAGCATGGGTTACTGAAGATCAATTCTACAGCAATCCATGCTTGGGCTTAGAGGTCTTCTCCACTGAACGCAGAAATATGTTATGTCATTGCTCGATGTTGTTATTGTGTATGGAAGCGCATTAGTGTAAATTTGATACCATACCTTTAGAGTAATTGACATTAGTTCCGAGTCTGTATATGTTACCACTGGCTTAATAATTACCTATTCGTTTGACTTTCAAACTTGACGTACTATCATAATATTCAATATACGAAAACTTCATTTATGCGTGATTAGTATGTGAATTTGTCTGAACAATCAACCTGCTGCCAAACATGAACACAAACCTGCTGCCAAACATGAAGGCAAACCTGCTGCAAAACCTACATACATACATACATACATACATACAAACATACATAGACAGACACACCCACAGACATACACACGCACACACGCACGCACACACACACACGCGTGTGTTTATAATTGTTGTCTGTCAATGTTTGTTCAAACTATATTCATCGTTACTTTAAACTTCAGAACACAATATCACTGTCTGAGTAACGATATACACGATTATATAATCAAATATGAAGATGTAAGTATCTTCTGAGCAGATTAAAGAGTAATCTACATAGATGCTAGTATCTTCTACACAGATGTTAAAAATACTAATACGCTTCCACAGTTTTTACCCATATTAGAATATATATTGACTACAACGTATGAAAGTTCAGTTTCTCATATCCATATGTAATGGTTTATATGTATCTGTCTGTTTTGAGGTATTTGTAGTGATCTGTTTATGTCGTTCATAATTTTACCTTTTATGTTATGATTTGCGACATTCGGTTGAGCATTGTTTACGTAATTTTATTTTTACAGTTATTTCAAGATGGATGATTTTTTCAAACCCGGAAAAGCAAAGAAGCCATCTTTGACGGAATCATTCATCGGATCAATCCTTTCAAAACACTACGGTTTGCGCATGTTTAGTTGCCAGGAACTAAACAGCTATGACGATTTCAACTTCCGGGTCAAAGCAGAGTCGACCGGAACGAATGAAAACTTGGAAGTCAGTTGCCATGGATATGTCTTCAAAGTTTTGAACTCTCTCGATTCCAAGAATACTGGTGTCATAGGTAAGATGTTCATATTTAAAACGCACTTCAAGGTATACATCTTATTTCAAGTCGAATGTTATATTCTACTCAGCGTCGAAGGTTATATTCGTGTCCACGTTGGGGTTACATTCTAGTAAGGGGTGACTATTGATGGGGAAACAACTATTGCGATAGTGATAGTCTATTGCAACATACTATTGCGATAGTCATAGTCTATTGCAACCAACCATTGCAATACCTTGCAATAGTTTTTCTCCTTGAATTGTCTCATTTGAAGTCATTTCCCAAATGAATGTATAGTTTATGTGAAATTAAAACAAGTTGAAGTAGTTGCAGTCTCTTTTAATAACTGACAAGAAACTTGAAACCCAGATGAATTAAACAGTTAAAACATAAACTCAATGAAGCTGCAAGTCTGCACCCAAACATCCTGCGCATTTATCAACGGAAGTCAATTACTAAACTATCGATAGTCACACAAACTATCGATTCATCGATAGTTTTTCGTTTCTACCATCGATTAATTGCTATCGGAGACTCAACAATTGCAATCCATCTAGTCCGTGCCAAGACCTGTGTTCTAAATCACGTCAATGCTTATACTCTAGACAATGTCAAGGTTTCTATACTAGTCCATGTCAAGGTTAAATTCCAGTCCATGTTAAGGGTTACAGTCTTGCTGCCAAGAGTTGTGTTCTAGTCCGTGTCAAGGGTTAAATTCTAGTCCCTTTCAAGGAGTGTATTTTAGTCTGTGCCAAGAGTTGTGTTCTAGTCTGTGTCAAGGGTTAAATTCTAGTCCCTTTCAAGGAGTGTATTTTAGTCTGTGCCAAGAGTTGTGTTCTAGTCCGTGTCAAGGGTTAAATTCTAGTCCCTTTCAAGGGGTGTATTTTAGTCTGTGCCAAGAGTTGTGTTCTAGTCTGTGTCAAGGGTTAAATTCTAGTCCCTTTCAAGGAGTCTGTATGTTTAGTCTGTGCCAAGAGTTGTGTTCTAGTCCAAGAGTTGTGTCTAGTCCGTGTCAAGGGTTAAATTCTAGTCCCCTTTCAAGGGGTAGTATTTTAGTCTGTGCCAAGAGTTGTGTTCTAGTCCGTGTCAAGGGTTAAATTCTAGTCCCAAGGTTAAATTTCTAGAGTGTATTTTAGTCTTCAAGTCTGTGGGGTAGTGTATTTTAGTCTGTGCCAAGAGTTGTGTTCTAGTCTGTGTCAAGGGTTAAATTCTAGTCCCTTTCAAGGAGTGTATTTTAGTCTGTGCCAAGAGTTGTGTTCTAGTCCGTGTCAAAGGTCAAGGGTTAAATTCTAGTCCCTTTCAAGGAGTGTATTTTAGTCTGTGCCAAGTTCTAGTTGTGTTCTCAATTTTAAGTTCACATTCTAGTCCCTTTCTGTAGTCTGCCAAGAGTTGTGTTCACGTGTCAAGGGTTAAATTCTAGTCCCTTTCAAGGGGTATATTTTAGTCTGTGCCAAGAGTTGTGTTCCGTGGTGTAGTTGGTTAGAGCGTCTGCCGTGGTGTAGTGGTTAGAGCGTCTGCCCGGAGAGCGGAAGGTCGCGGGTTCGATCCCCGACCGCGTCATACCAAAAGACGTTAAAATATGGTACTTGATGGTCCCTGCCTGGCGCTCGGCATTAATGGGTACAACAAGGACTGGTCGGTTCGGAGTCAGTATAACGTGTCTGAGTGGGGTATTCATGCTTCACTGCGGTATGGTATCTCAGTGGGCTAGCACTGTAAAACCAGAATCAGTCTGGGCTAGTACAAGCAGCCGCATACGCATGCACGTCATCATATGAGCGAAATATTCTCAAGCACGACGTTAAACCCAATTTCACCTCACCTCACCTCACCTCACCTTCACTGAGCTCCCCCTAGCGGGGAGAATGAACTATAAGGGTGATATCATTTCAGACGCCCAACACGAGATGATGTCTCGGGTATATGAGAGTGGCATCCTCACCCCCCGGGCCGTCCCTACCCTCACTGGACATCTGTACCTGATGGTGAACCTGCTACTTGAGGGGAGTGAACATACAGACAGCGCTGGTCAGTGTGAGTTTGGGGCGGGAGGCATGTTATGTACTCTTATGAACTGACATCAAGAAATGTTTTGTGTTTTTGAAGATACACACACACTGTTTTCTGGACAATGAAATACTTAAATTAGAATTACTGAAGCGAATTCTTATTGATATATTGTTGACAATAACAATTACATATATTATTATATCATTGGCACAAGAACTGTAACCAATGATTTGTAATCGGTGACAATAATACAAGACATGACCCACCCAATCCCTTTTTAGCTGATCAGGAAACAATATTCCAAAAGTGGGCGTGGCCGTAATATTGTTAAATTAAGGAAATCGTTGCTTGGTCAATCAGGCACGTGGCATGTAATCAATCGCAAATTTACAGATAAACCTGTTATTTAGGATCCTAATAATGTGAAAATCTTTAGGCTATCTACAGTTACTGCTATATATTAATGTATACATATGTTTATGCAAGGGCATTAATCGGTAAGATGATTTACTGTTATTATTGTGGAAGTTGTCACTATCACTGGTACATGTTTTACAGACTCCGATAGCTCCTTCATAGTGCGGCTGTTTGAGTATGTCCCCGGGGAAATACTGGAATCTGTCCCTCTCACCCCCCGGGCTGTGTTACAAGGTGGGGGTGATGGCGGGCAGAGTTGACACAGCGTTGAAGGTTAGTACTGTGTTATTGGTGTCTGGTAAACCACGTCACGGCTGGTGTGTATATGAGTCAACGCCGCGTTGAAGGTTAGTACCGAGTTTCAGACCCGTGAAGATCCGGGTTAGAATTGATCTTCAGCAACCCATGCTTGTCGTAAGAGGCGACTAATGGGGTCGGGTGGTCAGGCTCGCTGACTTGGTTGTTGACCAAATGTCATCGTATCCCAGTTGTGTAGACTGATGCTCATGATGTTGATCACTGGATTGTCTGGACAAGACTCGACCGTCATATATCTGGAATATTGCTGAGTGCGGCGTTCAACACCAACCAACCAACCAACTTAGCTCCTGGTGTCTGATAAAACGGTCACGTCAAGGCTGGCTGTATATAATCTTTTCATGTACAGTCAAAACTGATGCTGAAATAAATTGACTGTTGATAACAACATGTATCCGGTCTTTAAAATATTACACGACTTTTATATGACGATTGAACTATTTTTTAGGGGTTTCAGCATTCTGGTTTCCATGGTTACCAAAGGAAGTGGCACCTTGACCTTCTGCCGTTGCTCAAGAAACTGTTACACGTGATTGAGGTCAATGACGACAGACAGATGATCGGTGACGTCATCGAAACCTTTCAGTCACATGTTCTTGATCAACGGAATAACTTGTCTCAAGGTAATGCCCAACGTCTGATTGTTGTTTAACGCCGCAACGTTCTAGTGAGCGAGTGAGTGAGTAAGGGAGTGAGTATGGTTTTACGCCGCTTTTAGCAATATTCCAGCAATATCACGGCGGGGGACACCAGAAATGGGCTTCACTCATTGTACCCATGTGGGGATTCGACCCCGGGTCTTCGGCGTGACAAGGGAACGCTTTAACCACCAGGCTACCCCACCGCCCCTCCGCAACGTTCTAGCTTTGTGGTGACAACCTGCAAATATACGAACCTGGACCAGACAATCCTGTAATTTACATCATAAGCCTAGCAAAAGGGTTCGATGTCAAGTTGAGCAAGTCAGTGACCCTGAACACCAGATCCACAAGGTCTTGTCTTACCAGGAGTGATGAGTGAGTATAGTTCTACGCCGATTTTAGCACTATTCCAGCAATATCACGGCGGGGGACACCAGAAATGGGCTTCACACATTGTACCTATGTGGGGAATCGAACCCGGGTCTTCGGCGTGACGAGCGAAAGCTTTAACCACCAGGCCACCCCACCGCCCCTATTTTTTAAAGAAAATACGGTACAGGAGTGTGAACCTATGCTCCCTTCATAACTCTTGTGGGTGTTCAATGCACAGTATTTTGTCAATATCCTGGTGTATCTGTCTTGTCAAAGTTTCAGTTCCCAATTGCGTAGATCAATGCTCATGCTGTTGTTCACTGGATTGTGTGGTCCAGACTCGATTATTTACAGACCAACGCCACATAACTGGAATATTTCCGAGTGCGGCTTAAAACTAAACTCACTCTCAGAATATATCTGATTTACCGTAAATGAAAATGAAAAGCCACATGTTTTCGTATTTGGAACTTAACATTGTTTTTTGTTGCATTTTTCAGGAATGATCCATGGTGATTTAAACGCAGGGAACATCCTGGTAACTAAAGCTGCACGTGACGACAGATGGAAAGATGAACACGATGTGTCCGCCATCTTGGATTATGGTGACAGTTCTTATCAGCCTTACATCTTTGAAGCTGCCATAGCAATGACCTACATGTCAATTCTAAGCGACAACATCCCACCACAAACTGCATCCGGGTACGTTCTGGCGGGCTATCTAACCAAGAATGATTTGTCAGACAGAGAAATTGATCTGTTAAAGATATGCGTATGCGCGCGCATTTCTCAGTCCCTGGTAATCGGCGCCTACTCATTCCACATTGATCCCAGCAACGACTACACGCTTAACACGGCTAAGAAAGGCTGGCCACGACTTCGTCAACTGTGGAAAATGGACACAGAACAGATGGTGAGGGAGTGGCGAAACATTGCCAGCTTATGTAGGGAAACACTGGCGGCTGACTGACGACGACGACGACGATGATGATGATGATGATGATGATGATGATGATTACAATTATGAGGATGATGATGTGTCAGACTGTTAAGTTACAGTGACGACATCAAGTGTTCTTGAACCGTTGTGTTTCAAGTGACCTTCGTGTCACCTATAAATATATAAATTGAAGATGTGTCTCTAGTTCCTTGACATATGCAATAGGAAACATTACAAATGTATTTTATTGGTTCCTTTATATATATGACATCAACATTGACATTCAGGGGCGGATACAGCTTTATGAGAAAGGGGTGGGGGTGGGGGTGCACACTTCACTTTCACGGGTCATTTAACAAACTTTCAGCAATCAGCAGCCCCCACCCCCGGATCCGCCTATGACATTATACACTCACTCATGGGTAGGGGTTACTCTTGTTTTTGAGACACATGAGAGAAAGAAAGGTCGGCAAGTCAAGTATGTTGATTGCATTATCCTAAGTAACATTTATGCTCTGTACTTCAATGCAGTATTTGTTAAGCGGTCTTCAGCACTATGTGGGGAATCGAACCCGGGTCTTCGGCGTGATGAGCGGACGCTTAAACCACAGCTACCCCACCGCCCCTACCAGTTTGCAGCATGCACAGGTCTTTATCTGTTGGCTGCTTCAAACTGGTAGGGGCGGTGGGGTAGCCTGGTGGTTAAAGCGTCCGCTCATCACGCCGAAGACCCGGGTTCGATTCCCCACATCGGCACAATGTGTGAAGCCCATTTCTGGTGTCCCCCGCCGTGATCTTGCTGGAATATTGTTAAAAGCAGCGTAAAATCATACTCACTCACTTCAAACTGGTAGACCTCGGGTAGGGGTTAACAGTATGTTCACTGTATCTCAGTTCGTAATTTGCAGCTTTGTGAACAGAATTTTACAGACACAAAATTTTGATGATCGCACTGCACAAAGTCCCCAAGTTCAACAAAACAAACCAAGGATCAACATATCGTTAAAAATGGCTAAAAAGCAAATCAAATCAGCCTGAAGAGTTGGTCACCTAGTCCCCGTTCCACAAAGCGATCGTAGGTCTATAGTAAAATATGGGATCACGTTAGGGGCGGTGAGGTAGCCCAGTGGTTTAAGCGTCCGCTCGTCACGCCGAAGACCCGGGTTCGATTCCCCGCAGGGTTACAATGTCGGTCGTATTTCTTAAATGAATCCATTTTCGTGTATGTCTGGGGATGTACCAAGCGAACATTAATATAAGGCGACATGATCAGTTTGGGGTGAATTTGTGATGGTATGTGCGAGATCACTTGACTTCCAGAATGTCAAGGTGGCGGTCAATGGACAGTACTCCAAGACAACATACTGGCGCCTGCAGAGACCATATAATAGATATAGATATAGACCATATAATAGATGTGTAATTGTGCCGTTTGCGCACTATGCTGGTCCACGATTGGTCTTTCAGGAACCACTGTATATGTATCGTATCTGGCGCCTCCCTGGTGCTCAATGCCATATCCATGTGCAATATTTTTCAAAACACGATAAACAGTGGACAAAGGGATGCCTGTTCTACTTAAAATCACTTTAGTTGATCTGATGTCCTTGTTATAATACTCCAAAATCAACTTCCTCTTCTCTAAATCATCCATACTGAGGATCACTGCAAAATGTCGTCTGCTAGCAAGTAAACAAAGGGGGATAACTCTTCACAAACTAATGAACAAGGATTAACGGAGTTGTCTCTCTTGAATGAAACCAAGCACTTGATAGCTGGTCAAGGTTGTTATACTAGAAATCCAATTAAACATATTCCTAAAATTCTCAATAATTTCTGGTCATACTATATATGGTCTCTGGCGCCAGTAATTGTGCCGTTTGCGCGCCATGCTGGTCCACGATCGGTCTTTCAGGAACCACTGTATATGTATCGTATCTGGCTACTCCAACAGAAAACCATCACAGGATGCAATGTCCAGACATGTCTCCAGACCTTTTACTCACATAAATACGTTTAGGACTTGACCAGGAGACGTCAAAGGCCACACACCAGGGCCAGGCGGTGCAGGAGACGTGGACATTGATTCTAACCATGATACACTGTCTAAACGAATGCTTGATCAATCGTATGATTCAATATTTATCAAATCATCTGAAACCATTAATTGTCAGACAGTTTTCCTACACAGACGTGTTGTGATTCTTACTTACACATCCTTGCAATATACCACCATCATGGTCTACTGATTGTGATTCCGCTCACGTTACCCACGAAGAGCCGGGTTAGAATTGGTTTTCAGCAACTCATGATGGGGCCCGTAGGTAGTACTTCCGGTGACAAATAACGCTTCATACCTTTTCGAATGGTCTCATGGTTGTCAGTAAGGAACCGATAATCCTTGCAAAAATGACCAATTTCCGATCTAACCATCCCCAAATTAGCCAAGGACTACGACTGTCAACAGCTGTGATAGCCAAGCATGGTTATACACTTGGTTCGGTCTATTAAAGTAATATTTGGCAGTCGCGCAATTTCGAACCAGAACTGGTTCTTGAATATGCGCTTGTCACCGGAAATCTGGTCCCGGAAGTAAGCTGGGCCCGTCTCGCGTATCACAAGTTGGTGCGCGCAAAGGGAGCTGGGAAGCAGTTTAGTACCGGAAATAGCTCTTCGCGAAACTTGCATGCTCTGTTGTCGTAAGTGAGTGAGTGAGTTTGGTTTTATGCCGCTTTCAGCAATATTCCAGCAATATCACGGCAGGGGACACCAGAAATGAGCTTCACACATTGTACCCATGTGGGGAATCGAACCCGGGTCTTCGGCGTGACGAGCGAACGCTTTAACCACCAGGCTACCCCACCGCCCCCCTGTTGTCGTAAGAGGTGACGAATGGGATCGGTTGGTCAGCCTCGCTGACTTGATTGGTGCGTGTCGTAGATTCTTATGATTTCATGCTATGGAATGTCTGGTCCAGACACGATTATTTACAGGCTGCCGTCATATAGCTGGATAACTAAATAAACAAACAAAAACATACCACTCCCGGTCCTCTTTCCTTGTCCATTTCCATCACTCTACACCTTGTAATTCTATAATCATCTGTTATCTGTGCATATCCCGACTATTTTGGAGACATGGTCCTCCTACCTTGTCCATTTCCATCACTCTACACCTTGTAATTCTATAATCATCTGTTATCTGTGCATATCCCGACTATTTTGGAGACATGGTCCTCCTACCTTGTCCATTTCCATCACTCTACACCTTGTAATTCTATAATCATCTGTTATCTGTGCATATCCCGACTATTTTGGAGACATGGTCCTCCTACCTTGTCCATTTACATCACTCTACACCTTGTAATTCTATAATCATCTGTTATCTGTGCATATCCCGACTATTTTGGAGACATGGTCCTTCTACCTTGTCCATTTCCATCACTCTACACCTTGTAATTCTATAATCATCTGTTATCTGTGCATATCCCGACTATTTTGGAGACATGGTCCTTCTACCCTGTCCATTTTCATCACTCTTACACTTATTAACCAAAGTTAAATATTTGGGGGCGCGGTGGGCGAACTGGCTAAAGCGCCAGGCTAGTGATCCAGCGAGCCTGAGGTGACGGGATCGAGCCCACCTGTAACCGGGTGTAAAAACCTTGGAGTCAACTTTGTGTGCAGACTCTTTCAATGTTGTCACAACCCCTAGTGTACAGCACACCGAACCCTGTGCACTTAAAAGAACCCACGAATCCGTTGGTATATGACCAGATGGTGGCCACATGAATACGTGCAAACACCTAGTTGCGGGTACAGCAACGTGCAGTAAACTTGGACAAAGTACTGTGACTATGTGTCCCAGTCCACCCAGCTGTGAATGGGGACCTCGTAAGGATGGGAATGCCACAATAACTCGGTGCGTCTAGTGGCCGAAAGAGCTGTATGATCCCCAGGGGGTTGAGATTGACAATACGATGCGCCGTTGAGATTGACATCCAGTGAACGAGGGAAAAACAAAGCGCCTTTGAGCAGCTGAGCTGAGCTGGATATCGGCGCTATACAAATGTTAGTATGTATGTATTAATTCTGTAATTATCTGTTATTTGTTAATATCCGGATTCTTTTCCAAAACATACACTGAAGTTGGGTACATATTTAATTAAATGATTTGCTATCTCTTACAGTTATTTGATCAAATATGTAATTGCCTGCTGTTGTTTATGCATGTATCATAATCTGTTTTGACAAACGCGCTGTGACGTACGAGACTCGTAGCTCACCTTCACATAGCATTTTGGGGTTTATGTCATGTTTTGTTTGCAAAGTCTTACAATCGTCATTGGCCACCCTATTTAGCCCTATTGCTATTTGCAACGTCATGAAAAAATGTATTTATTAATGACTGATTTTAATGCTACCTCGCATTGGTAGTATTTCTGTCGCATATTGAATGAATTTATGATAAAGGTATTTAAGAAATCATGTTCCATTCATATCTTTGAGGATACTTGCCTTGGATTAGGCAATATTTTTGAAGGTCATTATGGAGTGAGTGAGTTAAGACTTTAAGTCACATCGGCAATATTTCAGCCATACCGTGACTAAAACAAGTTTATTATAATTTCATAATAAATAAAGGTAAATTATAAACCTGGTCAACGAAAGACAGTAAAATAACTAGTTTTTACAGATTTCAATTTAAAACTAGTGTCAACGCGTAGATACGCGTCGACTGGGGAATTAGCTCATGTTTCAGATGATGTGTACGTACAATACGTTGACAAGACGAAGGAATACGTTAAGCTCAAACTTCTTTAGTTACATGACAAACAAATACACAAGACATAAATGAGGTGAGCGGAGTACCTGCTCAACCCCAGGGCGCTTCCTACTAGCGGCATTAACCTGCTTCGGGCTCAGGGAACATAAACAAACATCGAGGGTACATCAACCCATGCCCCCCTCGTGATCAGTGAACAACTTATAATATATGACAATACAATGTAAAAACCGGCTATAGATTGCCAACAGCTGAAGGTAGATCACCATACTTGGGATCATGGGGACTTACAGTACAAGGTCATTGCTGACCTTGAAAGTCACTAGTGGTGTGAACTGCAATACCTTTGAATCAGAACTTGTGTTGACATGACGTCTTCTTACAATGATACAGATACAACAGCAAAGCGAAAAGGCTGATGTTGTTTCACAACAGAAACAGAAATAATCCATCCCTGCTTGAAAGATGATTGATGTAACGACCTCCCTGTCGTAACACAAGGACACGGATTGACTGACTGACTGAGTTTGGTTTTACGCCGCTTTTAGCAATATTCCAGCAACATCACGGCGGGGGACACCAGAAATGGGCTTCACACATTGACACGGATTGAACTCGAGCATGACCACAAGATTCATCAGGCGTGACTGATGACAAATTATTTACGACTAGAGGCAGAGCGCGGAGACAACCACATTTTCCACGCCAGAATATAAAAGAACGCACATATATCAGTGAACATAAGCCCCTAAAACCGGTGTCACGTGGTCGTGGGTTCACCACAGTAGCAAGCAACAAACATGCATTAGTCTTCACCTCTTTCACGGTTGGGATCCACGCCTGAGATGTAGAATCATGTTCTAATTCACACGGCTCGTCTGGCGGATGTGAGCTTCAGTGCTTAGTATTACAAACACCTGCAATTTATGACACTGCAACGTTCAAACAGCTGTTACACCTCATTCGTTGACAGAGTCCTGGTGAACCCTGGCAGCAGGTCTGTATACTATTACATGTATTTGGGTGTTTCATGCATTAACGCTTCAGATTTACCAAGGTAGGTTAGCTGAAAGTAGGAAGATATGGGGCTCCTTTCACGGAGCAACCTTTACTAAGGTTAACCTTAACTCCCATTCTTTAACATTGCACTAAGATCTGGTGATGGTTCATCGTCAGGACTGGTGCTATGTAGGCAGCCCAAGCTTGTCATAAAAGACGACTTATGAGTATGGTGGGGATGTTCGTTGGCTTTTATCGATCGTGTATCATTGTGTCCCGAAGGTCAGGAGATACGAGTATCTACCGGCCACGGTGACAAAAAACAGAAGAGCGATAACAATCGGGTGAAGCTGACGCTGGCGGAGGCCGCTGTCCAGGCGCACCGTTATACGGGTATGCTGGTTACGCTTTTGTATGTTGGTTACGTGGTGAAGGTGGGTTAGGTGGGTTATTTGGGTTAGGTGGGTTATTTGTTTTATGTGGGTGTATGTGGGTTATGCTTTATATATAAGTTACGTGGTGTATGTGGGTTACGTGGTGTAGGTGGGTTACGTGGTGTATGTGGGTTACGTGGTGTATGTGGGTTACGTGGTGTATGTGGGTTACGTGGTGTATGTGGGTTACGTGGTGTATGTGGGTTACGTGGTGTATGTGGGTTACGTGGTGTAGGTGGGTTACGTGGTGTAGGTTGGTTACGGTTTACAATGGTGTAGGTGGGTTACGTGGTGTATGTGGGTTACGTGGTGTAGGTGGGTTACGTGGTGTAGGTGGGTTACGTGGTGTAGGTGGGTTACGTGGTGTAGGTGGGTTATGTGGGTTACGTGGTGTAGGTGGGTTACGTGGTGTAGGTGGGTTACGTGGTGTATGTGGGTTACGTGGTGTATGTGGGTTACGTGGTGTATGTGGGTTACGTGGTGTATGTGGGTTACGTGGTGTATGTGGGTTACGTGGTGTATGTGGGTTACGTGGTGTATGTGGGTTACGTGGTGTAGGTGGGTTACGTGGTGTATGTGGGTTACGTGGTGTAGGTGGGTTACGTGGTGTAGGTGGGTTACGTGGTGTAGGTGGGTTACGTGGTGTATGTTGGTTACGTGGTGTAGGTGGGTTACGGGTGTACTTGGGTTACGTAGTGTATGTGTATTACGTGGTGTACTTGGGTTACGTGGTGTAGGTGGGTTACAGGGTGTACTTTGGGTTACGGTGTGTACGTGAATTACGTGGTGTACTTGGGTTACGTGGTGTAGGTGGGTTACACGGGGTGTACTTGGGTTACGTAGTGTATGTGAATTACGTGGTGTACTTTGGGTTACGTGGTGTAGGTGGGTTACGGGGGTGTACTTGGGTTACGTAGTGTACGTGAATTACGTGGTGTACTTTGGGTTACGTGGTGTAGGTGGGTTACGTGGTGTAGGTGGGTTACGTGGTGTACTTGGGTTATGTGGTGTAGGTGGGTTACGTGGTGTACTTGGGTTACGTGGTATATGTGGGTTACGTGGTGTACTTGGGTTACGTGGTATACTTGGGTTACGTAGTGTATGTAGGTTACGCTTGAGTATGTGTCACACACACACACACACACACACACACACACAAAGACAGATTGTACCTCGCTGCTTATGTACAACACTCTTGCTAGCGACCTTCAACCCCATGTCACCACTAACCACCAACAAGCGTGTCAACCTGGTCATGTGGGTTTTGCTCCACTGGACCAAAGAAATCCCAATTGCATACATAAGCACCCTCGACACAGTAATGGAACTGTCGTCTTTGTGGTCGTGTGCATCAGACTGGAACTCCCCAGTAACAAGATGGCCGTGCGCGTTGTTTGCTGACAATTTATTCTCACCTCAGGTACATCTTGCATTCTATACACTGGATACTGTCCCCGAAATTGTCATAAACCTTGATGCCTGAATATTATATATCGTCCACAGTTCAACAGAATGGCGAACTACATCAAGCTTGCAACATCGGAGAAACCATCGTTGACTGTTTCTTCCATTGGGGCCATACTTGCACGACATTACGGCCTGCGCATGCTCAGCTGCCAGAAACTTAACAGCTATGAAGATTATAACTTCCGGGTCAAGGTGGAATCAACTAGAGACAAGGGGAAGGAAACATGTTGCCATGGTTACACTTTCAAAGTTCTTAACAAGCGAAACTCACAAAACACAAACTTTATAGGTAAAGTATCTTGTTCATCAATTTTAGTCAATTTTTTACTTCATTTCATTATAATTGTCGCCGGTTCTGGTCTTGAGATGTCCCAAGGACAATAAATGATGAGGCGGGGAACGTCGCTTACGATATGAACCAGTTTATTGCCTGTGAAAAACGAACATTACAACATGAGAAAGATGTTGTGTGCGTCCGACATGGTCGGATGGTGACAAGGAAGTGTCGTGTATATCTTATATGAATACATCGGCAATAAACAATACAATTACGAATGAGATTGGTATATAATAGTTATGCTATAATTGTATAATTGATAAAATATATATGATGTCACGCATAAGCAATCAGTCAGAATTGATGATTTGGTATACTGTAGATATAAGATCATAATGATTGATCATTCACTCACTGTCTTACGTGCAATGCTAGTGCTTTAAGTTAGTAAGTGATCCACGCGAGAGAAAGTTTACATTACACGGTCGCGATTAATTACTAACTTGAGATATATGTTATTATTATTACAATGTTGATGAAAATAATATATATACTAGCAATGATATAGATGTAGAAAGAATATATGTAGAGAGGGTGCTTACCTGTGAAATACGAACATTACAACATGAGAAAGATGTTGTGTGAGTCCGACATGGTCGGATGGTGACATGAAAGTGTCACACGTCACAGGCATGAAACGCTCGAGATTTGGCGGGTAGCCGAATACGGGTGGCACGTACAACTCTCTACATATACCAGTGGAGAAGCAGCCCTCTGGTGAAATAACAGGGAAATAGAAGGATGTCGGCGACAATTATAATATGTTTATATAGCGCCGAGCTCCACCTTGGCTGCTCACAGGCGCTATTTTTCCCCCTCGACCATTGGATGTCAATCTCAACGGCGCATCGTATTATCAATCTCAACACCCTGGGGAGTATATAACTCTTGCAGCCACTAGGCGGACCAAGTTAATGTGACTTTCCCATCCTCACGAGGTACCAATTCACAGCTGGATGGACTGGGACACATAGTCACAGTACTTTGTCCAAGTTTACTGCACGTTGCTGTACCCGCACGTTTGCACGTATTCATGTGGCCACCATCTGGTCATTTACCAACGGATTCGTGGGTTCTTTTAAGTGCACAGGATTGTGTACCGTACACTAGGGGCTGTGACAACACTGAAAGAGTCTGCACTCCAAGGTTTTTACACCCGGTCACAGGTGGGCTCGATCCGGCACCTCAAGCTCGCTGGATCGCTAGACAGCTCGCCCACCCCACCCCACAAATATTGTTATTACTATCAAGATTTATTTCATATGGATGCGAACTAGCAGAAATGTGACAACATTGATAATGAATCAACCATCGAATTTGTGCAATAATTATCAAGATGTAACATGTATGATGTGCAAAGAACTATTTAACTACCAAACTATTTAATATGTAAGAATACTCCCTTGTCATGTGTTCGTGTGATGGAACCTGTTTAAATTGATGTATCGATGTTCCTATCACAGGCAAATGGCATGATCAGAACAATTACCGTTTCAGAAGCCCAGCACGAGATGATGTCCCGTGTGTACGGGAGTGGTATCCTCACCCCCCCCGGGTCGTCCCCACCCTCAGCGGGCACCTGTACCTGACGGTGGACCTACAGCCTGTACCAGTAGAGGGTAGTGAGGAGACAGACATAACGGGTCAGTTTGTTGAATGTCAGTGTGACATTGTGTCCTGAGTGAGTGAGTGGGTTGAATTTCACGCCGCACTCAGCAATATTCCAGCTATATGGCGGTAGTCTGTAACTAATCGAGTCTGGAACAGACAATCCAGTGACTAACATCATGAGCATCGATCTACGCATTAGGGATACGATGACATGTGTCAACCAAAGACCACCTGATCCCGTTAGTCGCCTCTTACGACAAGCAAAGGTTACTGAAGATCAATTCTAACCCGGACCTTCACGAGTCCATTGTGTCCTGACGCACTCTATCATCCGCTGTTGTCCTGAAGCTCGGCTTCTTTACATGCGGCTGCACTATATGCATGTAGTCACTATGGCTGAACGTCGTCCACGTTATGGTAGTCTGTCATACAGATCCTGAAACATCTATACCTATGTGGTGGCGCGTGGTCCTGTGCACACAGCTCAGGTCACGAATCAGTTGAAGTTAAGCAACGTCGAGCTCGGACAATCCTTGGATGTGTGACCGTGTTTGGCAGCCTAACTCCTGAGAGTTTCCTGCCCAACAACGAAGCACATGTGATGCATGTGGTCTCACCTTAGGCAAGTGAGTTTGTTCAAATTGCCTCTGTTCACCCAGCAGAAAAATGGGTACCCGGTGGGATAAAGTCTTGTGACTATAACCTTCTAGCGCCTAACAGGCAGCTTGGGTTATCCGGGGTAATAAGAATCAGATTCTGATTAAGCGCCGCGAGCAATCACTTGGTGTTTGGAGACTGTGCGCTATAGAAGATGACTTATTATTATTATTATTATACCAAATACAGCCCATGCAATCTGGAATGTGTGCAAGTCTAGATTACCACAGTCTGAATACGAACAAGGGCCCCGATCTCCATTTTTATTATATTTATTAAATAAAATTCAGGAATAGATGTTAGTTAGATGTTCTTGGTGTAACTGAGTATTGAGGGACGATGGGGATAGTCAAATGGTCAAAGCCTCCGCTCCACGGGCTTAAAGTTCGATTCCTTATTTCTGGATACCCCGTCATGACACTGCTGTTGTGAAGGGAAGTAAACCATGACTCACTCATCGAGCATGGGGAGCCTCTTCAAGCCGAAGTTCGGGTTCGATTCAATATAGGGATAAACTGAATGATCCCATTACTCCATGATATTAGTGGAATATTGCGTGAAACGTGAATTACTCACCCAGTCACTCTCTGAAAACTGTGTTTCTACAACAGAAGGCTTCAGTTTCAGACTCCCCGTATGTAGTACGGCTGTTTGAGTATGTCCCCGGGACAATAATACAGTCTGTACCCCTGACCCCGGGGCTGTGTTACAAGGTGGGGGTGCTGGCAGGCAGAGTTGACACGGCATTAAAGGTAAGTACTGTGTTACCTATATCAAGATTCAACAAGTCATTTCAGGATCTCAAAAGAAAGAACTGCGTGTCACGAAAAGGTAGGCGTCGCTTTGAAAAAAAGGCAGCGCTTTTAATTAGGGGATCGATGTCTACCTTCAGGCTGACACCGGTAAAGAAGACATCGGAAAACATTGAAATCGGCAAAGACCCAAAATCATTCGTTCTGCCATAATACAGTTATTCTTCATTTTACGGTAGATCTTAGATAACTTCTAGCGTTGTTTGATTGAAGTGAAATGACATGATCCCAGTGCATGGCAAATCGAGACATATTTCTAAAAGTATTTCGTCCTTTGTTCGGCTTTTATGAATTATTTGACATAACAAGGGTTCACTACGTTCACTCGTCTCTCCGCAGGGCTTCGATCACCCTGGGTTCCATGGTAACGAAGTACAGATCTGGCACCTTAACTACGTGCCCTTGATTCTTGGCTTGCTGCACGTGGTAGATGACAAAGGTGACAGAGATATGGTCAGTGACGTCATCAAGACATTTCAGTCACGGGTTCTGGAACACCTGAATGAGTTTCCACAAGGTAAGAAGGAACGTGGCAATGCCGAGATATTGGTAACACAATATTCTCTCACACTGCAATGATGTTTTCCACGTTTTTTTGTAAATATGTGTAATTTCTAAAGTATAACTTTGTAAGAAAAGAGGGTAATGATTAGGGTAATTCAGTAACATAAAATGTTGGTTTTTGCTTCACCGAGTTAACGCTTAAAGGAGAAGAGTTTGCACTTATTTTAAAGTGCAACGCACCAATTCTTTCACTCGGTTATGACATTTCTACCTGTGATCCGATTATCCATCCCTACACACCGTGTTAACCGAAATTATCTCAGGGCAGATCTTGAAATCAAACGCAGCTTCAAATATTCAAAATGGCCGCCAGACACGTCACAGGAGCCTTGTGTATTGTTCTATAACTCACAACGATGTGAGGTAAACATATGTCACATTGTTTTCCAACGCTGCCGTTGTATCGTTTTTCGTTTTTGTATATTACGCATTTAGAACGACCAGAAAGTTCCACATTTCGGCAGAACATCAGCTATATAAAACCATAATCGAATTTGCAAAATTGAAGCTTTTGTATTTGTATCGACAATCGAAATGTTCCCTAACGGATATCAAACAGCAACTACAATGCCGCAGTCAATTAGTAATTTCATTCAGTCCTTTCATCCGTTATTCAATCAATAGTTAGTGAAATTAGTTTTTAGCTTTAACAATGATGTCACTTTGAGTGAGTTTAGTTTTATGTCGCTTTTAGCAATATTGAAACGATATCACGGCGGTGTACACCAGAAATGGGCTTCACACATTGTACCCATATGAGGAATCGAAACCGGGTCTTCGACGAGACAAGCGAATTCTTCAACCACTAGGCTACCCCACAGTTCGAGGGGACCTCGAGGTTCCTAACTAGAGTAGCCTACCCAACAACAGGCGGTCAGTAGGGATAGGTGACTTGGGTCAATCAAAGTATGACGGAAATCATTTAGCATGTGCACTGATCAACCAAAGTTCTATTGGCATATGCCTTCTTCTTCAGGAATGATCCATGGTGATTTAAACGAAGGGAACATCCTGGTAACTCAAGCTACGGATGACGACAGATGGAAGGATGACCACGATGTGTCCGCCATCTTGGATTATGGTGACAGTTCTTATCAGCCTTACATCTTTGAAGTTGCCATAGCAATGACCTACATGTCAATCCTGGGCGACAACTTCCCACCACAAACTGCATCCGGGTACGTTCTGGCGGGCTATCTAACCAAGAATGATTTGTCAGACAGAGAAATTGATCTGTTAAAGGTATGCGTATGCGCGCGCATCTCTCAGTCCCTGGTAATCGGTGCCTACTCATTCCACGTTGATCCCAGCAACGACTACACTCAGACCTCAGCTAGGATAGGTTGGCCACGACTTCGTCAACTGTGGAAAATGGACACAGAACAGTTGGTCAGGGAGTGGCGTAACATTGCCAGCTCCTGTAGGAAAACACTGGTGGCTGACTGATGATGATGATGAGGAGGAGGAGGAGGATGATTAGGATTTAATGTGTCGGCATATATTTTACGTGAGGAATTATTAATATGAGGTTGGAAATCCGAGAACACAACCCTTTGAGGAAATGGGTGTCTACCTTTGATGGAGGCGATATTTTATTTTGACATTAAAAATATTTTTCGTACCGAAGCGAGGGAAGTACTTTGCCAGCCCTTAGCTCGCTTCGATCGCATATAGAAAGACTAGTAATTTCTCTCTGTTGCGCAACACCTATTTGCGCTACAGTTTGACCTGTGATTCACTGTTGCACACCTACACCCTATTTATGTGATTGCATTCTTTACTTACTGAATTTGATAGAACGGTACCTCCATAGTAAATGATAGGTGTAGCCAATTCAGGTTCCATTGTCGCAGCGCTAACTATGATATAGAACTGGTATATGGACACTTCCTATGATTCCGTAAATTTTCTCACAAATGGCTCACATTTCAGTGTCTTAAGACACTGGAACTGAATAAAAATTACGTCTATTCGGGAGGTTTAAGATAAAAAGACCAAATATGGTATGTTGCAAACTATTGTTTAGACACCCCCAGAAATTTATGTGCTTTGTGTTTTTTTTCACCTCTAGACCTTTCAGAGCACTAAATTCACAAACGGACCAGATATATGCTTTGTAAATTCAAATTTGGATTTAAAAAATTGAAATAAAGAAACATTTTTCATTCATAATGATTTGCAATACAGACAAGTTCGAAAGAAGAAAACGTTTTGCTGGCTCAGATCAGCTGTCGCAGGCTTGGTATCATTCCGCACCTACACGCTGTCTGATTCCATTATTGTGAAGGACTTTCTGACACGTTCCATGAACTTGTGTGATTACAACAGAATTGGAAGCTAACAACATAACGGGAATTTGTCAAATACTTAAACCAAAGATGAGTGAGTGAGTGAGTTGCGTTTTACGCCGCACTCAGCAATATTCCAGCTATATGGCGGCGGTCTGTAAATAATCGAGTCTGGACCAGACATTCCAGTGATCAACAGCACGAGCATCGATCTGCGCAATTGGGAACCGATGGCATGTGTCAACCAAGCCAGCGAGCCTGACCACCCGATCCCGTTAGTCGCCTCTTACGACAAGCATGGGTTGCTGAAGGTTCATTCTAACCCGGACCTTCACGGGTAAACCAAAGATGAAATGTAACAGGCAGACAAAAATAGTTCTATGACCCAACACTACCGCTGTTACAGGTCATTGGCTCCCTCCCTCTGCAAGCCTTCTGCGTTCTGCTGTTTATTTTGTTGACAGTTACATAGACAGATTCTTTAATACAAATGCATAAAATCAGTGATTTACAATGTGATTAGGTTGTCTGACAAAACATCCACTTGCACAGTTTGAGATCGATTAGGTCATTGGATGAAGAGATATTTAAAAAAACCCGGGTCCACATGCATTTCATGCCAAACTATAGTTTAGCGTAAACCTTTCAAAGTTTCGACATAACATCTATTGCTTTCACAAAAAAATCATTCACTTGATCTACACCATCCTTACCTCTTTCTGTGATGGTAGATCATGACTTTCTATCAAAGTAATGAGCATATTCCTCGACTTGGTACAACTCCATTTGGCTGTTGCCTTTTGTTGTTTTAACACACGTACACGTTCGGCTGTCACCGAGAGAGATCTACTTTCAGTTTCCGACAGGGGCCGGTGGGGTAGCCTAGTGGTTAAAGCGTTGGCTCGTCACGACGAAGACCCGGGTTCGAATCCCCACATGGGTACAATGAGTGAAGCCCATTTCTGTTGTCCCCGCCGTGATATTGCTGGAATATTGCTAAAAGCGGCGTAAAACCAAACTCAGTCAGTCAGTCAGTCAGTCAGTTTCCGACAGAGTTGGGTCTTATCTATTTATCTATCTATACTGAACTGCAAAAGAAACGCAAGTAACTATTTTCAAAACATACGTTCCAAATGCATTCCTTTTAGGACAACAAAGTATACCATTATAGAACCAAGCATTCGAAGATGGTTTTGCCGTTGTTGCCGCTTATTCTTGACCATATCGCCCAAACGCAATCATTTTCATGTTTTTCGTGTTGTTTGCATGAAGTTTTGTGTTTCACACACAAAATGCGTGCATTTCACTCAATTTGAAGCTTTATAAGGCAGGTCATTCAAAAACACCATAGAACACAAAATTGACTGTGACAACGCGGAGAAAACATGCCACGTCTAACTGAACAGCAACGAGGAATCGCCGTTGGAATGTTGCAGACCGGATCCACACCAACTGCGGTGGCCAGGCACTTCAGATGTAACGTGACAACAATCACAAGACTATCCACAAGGTATCGTCAAACCGGTCATGTTCGAGACCGACCACGTTCAGGACGTCCCAGGATAACAACGCCAGCGCAAGATCGTCACATCCGGGTTACTCATCTGCGTAACCGACAGCAACGAGCAACACAGACGGCTGCAACCATTCAAGGGCCACAACGTCACATCTCTGCAGACACTGTTCGTCGTCGTCTGAGGGCAGCAGGGATCAGATGTCGCCGTCCTTACGTCGGACCGATTCTGACGCAACGTCACTGCCAAAATCGTTTACAGTGGCCGCGACAACACCAGCGTTGGCGACGTCAACAAGTGTTGTTTTCTGATGAGTCCAGATTCAACTTGTCCCACGCCGATGGCCGATTACGTGTATGGAGACGACGTAATGAACGTTACGCCAACTGTTGTGTTGTGGAAGCTGACCGCTGGGGAGGTGGGAGTCTCATGGTATGGGGTGGCTTCAGCTACCACCACAGAACACGTTTACACGTGTTTCGTCAACGTGTGACTGCTGTAGTCTACAGAGACCAGGTCCTTCAAAACCACGTTGTACCGCTATTCCAGGCCCAACCTCAGCTCCAGACGTTCCAGCTGGACAATGCTCGTCCCACACAGAGTCTCTGTGGACTTCCTTAGAGGGAACAACATTGCTGTACTGCCCTGGCTCTCTCTGTCCCCGGATATGGCACCAATCGAGCATGTGTTGGATGAAATTGGTAGACGGATACAGACAGCTGCTCAACCTCAAAACCTTAGAGATTTGGAAGCCAGATTGGTCAGGGAATGGAATCAAATTCCCCAAGCCTTCTTTCAGACACTTGTTGACTCGATGAGACGTCGTTGTGCTGCCTGCATTGCAGCCAATGGTGGTCACACGCGCTACTGATTGACACACTGTTTCGTGACATTTTTGGTGTGAGGGTGAAGTGATAACATATGCTTTTACTGTAAACTTGAGTGTTGTTGTTGTTTTCACCCAGAGATCACGACTCATTTCTTCAACAATCACTTGTCTGTTGTTTTTTCGTAGTGTTAAGATTGTTTTGTTCCATAGATTCAGAAATATTGACATTTTACATCAACTTGCGTTTCTTTGCGGTTCAGTATATTATCTATCTATCTGATTTCTATTGTTCTAATGGAATTGCAACAGAAAACCACGCTCTGCTACCATTGCTGCGCAGTGGAATTGAAAACTAAACTAACTAAATATGAAGTTTCGAATGTGCTATTCCGGAAACTGAACGTGAACATCTTTGTTAAACTGATGAAATAATTCAAAGTGATAAAATGGGAACCATACGTGAGATCTCTTTTAAATGCAAATGGCCAAACAACTTAATGTGATACCTTTAAATTTTATTATCTACACTATCTATCGAGCTCTACTGCACATTCAAGTCTATTTTCTACTATCTTGCTCTTTCGTAGCTAGCTAAGCCTATGCAACTTCTATTTCGATGAACTATTACAGTCTTCCTATCAGTCTATCTACATCCTATTTTGACGAGCTGTCACCTAACTCAAGCCTTAGAGTCAGACCCAAACAAAACCTCAAGTGAAGTCCAAACTCAAGGTCGTCCGCATCGCTGGATTTACACGTGGTCAACTGCACGCGGTGTGACCGCACGTGAAAAGTCGGCATGTTGCGTTTATGCGGTCTGTCACCCTCAGTGAAAAAACGAAGAGCGAAAAAACATCAGGAGAAGCTAACGCTGGCGGAGGCCGTTGTCCAGGCGCACAGTCAGCAGTCTTAAACAACGTGGGTATGTGGGTTACAATTTGCATGTGGGTTAGGTGGGTTACGTGGTATATGTGGGTTACGTGGTGTATGTGGGTTAAGGGGTACGTATATGTGGGTTACGTGGTGTATGTGGGTTACGTGGTGTATGTGGGTTAAGGGGTACGTATATGTGGGTTACGTGGTGTATGTGGGTTACGTGGTGTATGTGGGTTACATGGTGTATGTGGGTTACGTGGTGTATGTGGGTTACGTGGTGTATGTGGGTTACGTGGTGTATGTGGGTTACGTGGTGTATGTGGGTTACGTGGTGTATGTGGGTTACGTGGGTATGTGGGTTATTGGGTGTATGTGGGTTACGTGGTGTATGTGGGTTACGTGGTGTATGTGGGTTACGTGGTGTATGTGGGTTACGTGGTGTATGTGGGTTATTGGTGTATGTGGGTTACGTGGTGTATGTGGGTTACGTGGTGTATGTGGGTTACGTGGTGTATGTGGGTTACGTGGTGTATGTGGGTTACGTGGTGTATGTGGGTTACGTGGTGTATGTGGGTTATTGGGTGTATGTGGGTTACGTGGTGTAGGTGGGTTACGCGGTGTATGTGGGTTATTGGGTGTATGTGGGTTACGTGGTGTATGTGGGTTATTGGGTGTAGGTGGGTTACGTGGTGTATGTGGGTTACTCGGTGTATGTGGGTTACGTGGTGTATGTGGGTTACGTGGTGTATGTGGGTTACGTGGTGTATGTGGGTTATGTGGGTGTATGTGGGTTACGTGGTGTCTGTGGGTTACGTGGTGTATGTGGGTTATTGGGTGTATGTGGGTTACGTGGTGTATGTGGGTTACGTGGTGTATGTGGGTTACGTGGTGTATGTGGGTCATTGGGTGTATGTAGGATGCGTGGTGTATGTGGGTTACGTGGTGTATGTGGGTTACGTGGTGTATGTGGGTTACGTGGTGTATGTGGGTTACCGGGAGTATAAGGGTTACGTGGTGTATGTGGGTTACGTGGTGTATGTAGGCTGTACATACACTTCCAAGCACCAAGATGGAACTGTCGTCTTTGTGGTCGTGTGTATCAGACTGGAACTCCCCAGTAACAAGATGGCCGTGCGCGTTGTTTGCTGACAATATATTCTCTACCTCAGGTACATCTTGCACTGTATACACTGAATACTGTCCCCTAGGCTGTCATAAACCTTGATGCATGTACCTTTGTTTATCGTTCACAGTTCAACAGAATGGCGAACTACGTGAAGCTTGCAACATCGGAGAAACCATCGTTGACGGAGTCATCGATTGGGACCATACTTGCACAACATTACGGCCTGCGCATGCTCAGCTGCCAGAAACTTGACAGCTATGAAAATTATAACTTCCGGGTCAAGGTGGAATCAACTGGAAACGAAGGAAATGAAACGTGCGGCCATGGTTACAGTTTGAAAGTTCTTAACAAACGAAACTCACAGAACACAAATTATATAGGTAAAGTATCTTGTGCATTGATTTGTATTCACTTTTCTACTTCATGTGTTTTACTATCAAGATATATTTCATATGGATGCGAACTACATGTAGTAGACAAGTTTAATTATGAAACAGCCATCGAATTTGTGCAATAATCATCAAGATGCAACGTGAATTTTGTGCAAAGAACTATTTAACTACCAAACGCTATTCAATGTGTAACTATTTAACTATCAATAAGTATGTAAGAATACTCCCTTGTCATGTGTTCGTGTGATGGAACCTGTTTAAATTGATGTATCGATGTTCCTATCACAGGCAAATGGCATGATCAGAACAATTACCGTTTCAGAAGCCCAGCACGAGATGATGTCCCGTGTGTACGGGAGTGGTATCCTCACCCCCCGGGTCGTCCCCACCCTCAGCGGGCACCTGTACATGACGGTGGACCTACCAGTAGAGGGTAGTGAGAAGACTTACAGCACGGGTCAGTTTGTTGTATGTCAGTTCGATTCCCCACATAGGTACAATGTGTGAAGCCCATTTCTGATGTCCCCCGCCGTGATATTGCTGGAATATTGCTAAAAGCGGCGTAAAACCAAACTCACTCACTCACTCACTCACCCACCCACTAATCCAGCCAAAACCCACTCACTCACGCTCACTCACTCACTCACTCACTAACTCACTCACTCACTCACTCACTCACTCACTCACTCACTCACTCACTCACTCACTCACTCACTCACTCACTCACTCACTCTACAATACGCTTCTACAACTGAAGGCTTCAGTTTCAGACTCTCCGTATGTAGTACGGCTGTTTGAGTATGTCCCCGGGACAATAATACAGTCTGTACCCCTGACCCCGGGGCTGTGTTACAAGGTGGGGTGCTGGCAGGCAGAGTTGACACGGCATTAAAGGTAAGTACTGTGTTACCTATGTCAAGATTCAACAAGTGATTTCAGGATCTCCAAAAAGGGGTGCGTGTCTATAAATACTCGATAAAGTAGGCGTCGCTTAGAAGAAAAGCAGCGCTTTGAATAGGTGATCGATGTCTACCTTTAGGCTGACACCCGTAAAGAAGACATTTGAAAACACTGAAATTAGAGAAGATCCGGACTTATTTGCTCTGCCTTAATATAGTTTTTCTTCGTTTCACGGTAGCTTTTAAACAACTTCTAGCCTTGTAAATGAAGTAATTCCAGTGCATGAAAAATCGAGACATATTTCAGATGGTATTTCGCTCTTTCTTCGGCCTTTATGAATTATTTAACATTACAAGCGTTCACTCTTCTCTCCGCAGGGCTTCGATCACCCTGGTTTCCATGGTAACGAAGTTCAGATCTGGCACCTTAACAACGTGCCCTTGATTCTTGGCTTGCTGCACGTGGTAGATGACAAAGGTGACAGAGAGATGGTCAGTGACGTCATCAAGACATTTCAGTCACGTGTTGTGGAACACCTGAATGAATTTCCACAAGGTAAGTTAGAACGTGACATACTGCCGACTGCGCCGTTGAACAACAATCTCTCACACCACCAGGAACGTTCAAGCGTTCTATATTATCGTTTTCTGTTATCTGTGTCATCAGTCATTCCTGTTTGACAACGGTAAACCGCTTCCGTGGTGTAGTGGTTAGAGCGTCCGCCCGGAGAGCGGAAGGTCGCGGATCCGCATCATACGAAAAAGACGTTAAAATATGGTACTTGTTGGTCCCTGCCTGGCGCTCGGCATTATGGGTACAACAAGGACTGGTCGACTCGGAGTCAGTGTAATGTGTCTGAGTGGGGTATTCATGCTTCACTGCGGCATGGTATCTCAGTGGGCTAACACTGTAAAACAGCAGCTGAAGTCATACATAGATACACACACACATGTATGTCGTCATATGAGCGAAATAATCTTAAGTACGACGTTAAACCACATTTCACCTCACCTTGACAACGGTACAGGAATCTGTTTCGAAACGTTGCACTCACGAAATATAGAAGCTGTTCAATATTGCAAATCATTTAGCATGTGCATTGGTCAACCAAAGCTCTAATGACATATACCTTCTTTTTCAGGAATTATCCATGGTGATTTCAACGAAGGGAACATCGTGGTAACTCAAGCTACGGATAACGACAGATGGAAGGATGAACACGATGTGTCCGCCATCTTGGATTATGGTGACAGTGCTTATCTGCCTTATATCGCTGAAGTTGCCATAGCAATGACCTACATGTCAATCTTGAGCGACAACATCCCACCACAAACTGCATCCGGGTACGTTCTGGCGGGCTATCTAACCAAGAATGATTTGTCAGACAAAGAAATTGATCTGTTAAAGATATGCGTATGCGCGCGCATCTCTCAGTCCTGGTAATCGGCGCCTACTCGTTCCACGTTAATCCCAGCAACGACTACACTCTTACCACGGCTAAGAAAGGCTGGCCACGACTTCGTCAACTGTGGAAAATGGACACAGAACAGTTGGTGAGGGAGTGGCGAAACATTGCCAGCTCCTGTAAGGAAACACTGGTGGCTGACTGAAGATGATGATGAGGAAGATTTTGCGTCAGACCAAAGGCTTACAGGACTGACAAGTCATCACCGATGACACCAGGTGGCTTGTCTCCACGTGTACCCGTCGTGTTTCAGTGATATTCTTGCCAACCATAAATCAATATGTGCCTTCAGTTATTGGACGTATGCAATAGGGAAAAACAAACAAATGCATTTTAATTATATAAGACATCAGTTTTGACATTATTTTGTAACGGTTCCGTAAAAGTTAATTCTGATCCATTTGCTTATTTGTGTCATGCTTTAGACTTGTCAGCACCCGGAGGCGTATGCTCATGTACTACCTTAAGTCTATGTTAAGGTATGGGAGTAACGGTCACCTTAGCGCTAAGATAGCTTTGTACAACGGCCAATTTGTCCTGTTTCGACGTCGTTTAAGTATAGTTATCTATTAATGACATGAGAGTGGGGTCGAACACAACGTGTTTTATTGAAGTCTAGTACAAGAAGAACCATAATGCATTTCGTCAAAAGATGACGTCATATCACGAGGAAGCAATGACGTCACGATTGTTCTGTTTACAATATACTATTTGTAAACAACTAATTATAGATACATAACACTCCTCAATCATAAATTCTTGTGTTACAAATGACTTGGTTCACACTTATCAATTTCTGAACAATTGTTGACTTTTGAGTTCTTTTCAAATCAACACACTTAGATTTTCACTAACAATTTGAAAGTTGACAGATCAATTCTTTCTGGGTTTTTCTGTTCCTGCTTGGGTAACATCGTTCACTGGGTTGTGTAGGAACGGTTTCGTCAGGAACCACTGTCGGCTCTTTACACTGAGTGAGTGAGTGAGTTAAAAGTTTAAGTCACTTCGGCAATATTTCAGCCATATCGTGACTAAAATTAGTTCTAACGAAGGACACTAAAATTACTAGATTATCACAAATTTGTCAAAACAAGATCAATGAAAAGTAAAATCATATACCAACATGTAACGATACGAGATAAAAAGTGGCAAGAGATCGATGGCAACGGAAGTTATGTCACCACACTAGGGACCGTGGGGACTTACAATACGTCTGCTTACTGCACGGTTCCCTAGCTTCATTTACACCATCCCTTCAGCTGCCGGCGATTGTAAGTATCTAAAAACTACAAATATTCTACTATTAAAAACGATGGTAAACCTGAATATTCTGTGACTGAAGTGGGCTTACATACCGTCTCCAGGGTGACAATAATTTTACAGTACTTCAACCCCCGTTAAGGTTGCCACCACTTCAAATCACAGTAATTGTTCATGTGTTACCTGTCTATAAAATATCCCAATATACATCAAAATCTATGAATTAAATCAATTTCTTTAAAAAAAACTAAACTAAATGAGAACTGATATTATTAAAAAGATCCTTCATAGTTTGTGATTTGAAATAGTTATCCCTTGTGATAGAAAAAATCAATACAGTCAAGCAAGACATGCTTGACCGTGATTCTTTCATCACAAGGGATGCAGAACGGACGATCCTCACCTTTCAACAGGTATTCATGAGTGTATCTAGTATGGCCAATACGGCATCGCCTTAGAACGTTCGGCGTTCTTCTGCTTCAACGTTGAGACTGTCAACAGAAGTTCGGAATGATCCAAGACAAAGTCTTAGACCTTGGTGATGGATAGAATCAAGTATTTTGAGGTTGCTATTACAGGCTCCACATATACGTTGAAGCCGTAATCAAGTTTAGACCGGATGAGTGATCTGTATAAGTGTAGGAGGGTAGTTTGGTCCGCTCCCCACTTTGAATTTGAAACGACTTTCAACAAATCGAGTGCCTTCAGGCATTTGGTTTTTAGGTATTTAATATGTAGCAGAAAGGTTAAGTGCGAGTCAAAGATGTGACCAAGGAACTTTGCTTCCTTGACAACTTTGACGGGTGTATCATTTAAATATAATTCAGGGTCTTTATGGGGTTTGTATTTTCTGCAGAAGTGTATACAGTTTGTTTTAGATTTAGAAAATTTAAACCCGTTCTAGATGCACCACATATGGATTTTGTTGAGACAGATTTGTAACTGTCTCTCAGTGATTCGCATGTTTTTGCCACGACATGAAATATTAACGTCATCCACGAAAAGGGATCCACTGATTGAATCTGTTAAAGATTTTGAAAGACTATTTAATAAAGTGACACACAAAATATTGCCTTGTGGAACACCCTGATCCTGACTGTATTATCAGACAGGGTAGACCCCACTCGGACTTGAAATTGTATGTCTGTTAAAAACTGTGATATGAAGTGAGGCAAACGACCTCTCAAACCAAATGCATGTAAATCTCTTAAAATACCATGTTTTCATGTTGTATCATAAGCTTTTTCTAGGTCGAAACATATTGATACAGCATGCTGGTTATTTACAATGGTCAATAGTGCTTCCATTTTTACGGAAACTGCATTGAATGTTGGAAATCAGATTATTGATTTCCAAATATCACACTAAACGATTATTTACCATTCGTTCCATAGTTTTGCAAACACAGCAATGAATATTATCAGCCCCTGTTGCTGTATCATGAGCCTGTCCAAGGGCAGTTTGTAGTTCATGTAGTGAAAATACTTCGTTGTAGTCTTCACCATTGTCACAGTTGAAATTAATGTTTTTCTTTTCCTCGAGCTTCTGATATTTCTGAAAATTCGGGAAGATAGTTTGATGAAGACGAGTGTTTCACCAAGTTTATTTGTAACATCTGAAGCATCTTCCAGAAAGTGATCTCTTTCCTTAAGGTGTCTAACACTCGTGTTTGTACCTTTGCCCTTGATCCTTTGGACCATATTCCACACCTTTGATATAGGTGTGCGGGAATTAATTTTGAAGACCAAGGTTCTCCATTACATTGAATGTACGTGGAGCTTTAGCTCTGGTTACCTTAACATTATTCAAATTATGAACAGTTGGATGTTTGCGAACATATTTTTCCGCTTTCTTTCTTTTATTTCTAGCCTGTTTGCAATCGCCATCAAACCATGTCTTAAGAATGTGTGGATTTGCAGATGACATAGGGAATGGTTATAGCTATAGCTATAGTATTCCGTTCATCTGAAAACAACTGAATATGGTCAGCGATATTCTGGAACGTGTCATGTTTTAGTTTCTCAGTACACAATGATGTGAATTAAGACCAGTTAGCCTCTGAAAAATTCCACCTTGATGAGGGTGGAACGTCAGATGGGTTGTTGACTGTTAGAAGTGTAGGAAAGTGGTCACTTCTGCATAAATCATCATGAACTGACCATGAACATTCATTCAGAAGGTTTGCATCTGTGAGTGTAACGTCCAAGGCAGAATAGCTACATGTAGCGGGGTGTAAATATGTGTGGATACCATCATTAAAAATAAGTAGATATAAAATCTGCTAATATTTTACCATTGGTATTGATACCGCTACTTCCCCATAAAGGATTATGTCCATTCAAATCCCCATGACTATGCAGGGCTGAGGGAGCTGATCATATAGAGCTTGAAGTTCAGATTTCTTAAAGTTTGAAGATGGAGGGATATATAAAGAGCATATATTAAATTCAATGTGTAAAGATAAACGGACTGCAACATCCTGAAGGTTAGTAGGAAGATGAACAGGGCTACATGTATGTATAGTACCCTGTCTTACCAAGACACAGGATGGATACACAATGCCATTTAGAAAGTGAGATTCTTGAGAGACATTTTGAAGTTGGTGAATATATAAGACGAGGATATGGATGGCAACTTCTTGTTTATAACACAACGCTTCTGGGCTACTTCTTGTCCCTTCTACAGGTGATTAAAGACATATGTAGAAAGCAAACTATATATACCAGATTTACAGGAAGTCAGATATGTACATGTATATACAATCAATACATGATACAAGAAGTAGCGGTGGAGAAACGTTAAAGCGTTGGTTATACGCCGAAGACCCTGGTTCGAATTGCCATCCATATACTCGTCTTATACTTAGAAAGAGGTCAAATGTAACACATGTTATATTTGGGATTACACTTTCTTTGTATTGGTATTTTGTATCCATAGCTTTCGGACGTGGGAGCCGTGCCAGATTTGATGGGACTCACCCCAAAAAGTACTAGAATCTGTACTTTACTAGGAATTCTTGTAATCCCAAGATACATGAGCCTCCAGTGGCTTTGTTGCCCGGAGGAGAAAAGGAACAACAAGAGCTGTACTGACGCAAGTCAAAATTATCTGTCTGTTTGAGGTATGTTTCTTGGAGACAGATGGTTGAAAATCTTGTACTAATAACTGTACACATGTATTTCATTTAAGTTGGTCCTAAGTCCTCTGCAGTTCCACTGGATAAGTGTATTACTTGTGTTTATGTTAAAATAGGTGATAGTACATGGTATCTGTTCCTTGACCGTGGTGATGACTTTTGTGGCGCACACCGTGTTGAGGAGTGACGTCCATATCTTCCAGAAGTTCATATTTATTAAATATTTCCGCCGTGATGTTGCTGAAATATTGCTAAAAGCGGCGTAAAACCAAACTCAGTCAGTCAGTCAGTATTAAATATTTGTACTGGATTCCGTTGGCCCTTTGGTACACGATCCGATTTTTTTCAATAGCACACTGTCTTGCTGGCATTTACTATAACAGGTGATGGTGAACGAGATTGTTGACGGATTGTGATTTTGTTTGCGTTGATGCAATAGTTTCCGTTCACATATTGAATATTTGCTCAGTATTCATCCAGGTGATATCTGTCTGGCACTCAACTGATTTAACAGACTTAGTAGGCTTACGGGTAACAGCTGCAGAGTATGACACAGTTGCAGTTGGAGTGTTAGCATGTGTTACCAAAGGTTTAGCCGCTGCAAAAGAGGTCCTTTTCATGTTTCAATTGAACAATCTGATATTGTTGTTGCCAGACCGGACAGGATTTAGATTAAGAAGCCTGATCGCCAGAGCAATTGACACATTTATGGCTGTTCGGACAGTCTTAAGTGTCATGTGCAGGTTCTCCATGACATTTCTTCCTGTTGGTACATGATTGGGCACCATGACCAAACTTTTGACATGGGTAGCACCGAACACCAATACCCAACTTGAAAGACACAAATTGTAAAAAATATGGACAATATTTCTGTGACTTGTTGTTGCTGTTTTATTGAAGAAAGTGTCACGAACGAAAATCAGGAATTGTATCACTCAAGGGGAGCTCGTAAAAAATCCATCACATCTCATGCAACACCACTATACACGGTCGTTGTAATCTAC